GTATCCTTTAGTAATACAACAAAGTAAGGGCTATTGTACAATATTTTAGTATATTTATCCTTTTAGTTTTTAAAGAGGTTTGAGATAATATCCTTCTTGTTATCAGCTGTATCGTGCATGAAACCCACATATTTTCCGCCTGCTTCTTTGCAGCATGCATTTCAAGCTAAAAGCAAGAGGAAAAATTGTTATTACTATGCTTAGGAGCAATTTGCACATGAAACAACAGCGGCCAACATGCACCAGAGCGGGCAGAGAGACCATTTGCTGTGTTCCTACTGTAAAGCTTAGCTAGTGTCTCTTGCCTGCCCTGCAGTCCATTCAGGGTTGTGTGGAGCTGGTATGCTGTACATGAAAGTCTGGCTGGAGGGGAAAGCCGGTATAACGACGCCTTGACAAATGCCTTTTGACAAACCTAATAACAAAACCCTAAATGAATCTCATTTCTTAAACATATCTCAGGAGCAGCACACTGCTCTCCCCATGGTGCACATCAGGCTTCTCTCATTTCACCTTTGCAGTGGTGCTTGAAGCTGGAGCGAGCTGATCTGCAATCAAAGAAGGTGGGGAGGAAAAGTTGCCACCACTGTAACTCTTTTTCCTTACTGGCTAAGTAGGATATGGATCCCATCATTCAAAAATAGATCAGTCACTTCAGAAACACAGAAGTAGGAAATAATTAATGACACAATGCAAAGGACACACAAGCAATTTACAGGTAAAAAATCCTAGAGTGAGGTAAACTTCTAATGAACACCTGGTGGAATCCACAGAAATAATTATGGGAAACGAAATGTGCAATTCCACAGACTAGCTGAATTTCCCAACCTCAGGACAGTACGACAGAATAAAATGTTCACATTTCCTGTTTGAAATTAAAAAACAGGTTTAAATCAGCAAATCAAGAAGTTCAGGATATTCTACATGCAAAATAAGAAAATCAAGAGTTCGTGCAGGGCATTTTATACATGTTAAAAGAACAGAGCACAAAGAACAGAGGAAAACAAAACAGGTCCAAGAGACCTCAGCCCCAGAAAACATAATGGAAAAGAAACTCCAACACAGATCACACAGAGACTACAAAAGGGATTAATTGGAAGGCAATCCTCACAGCTCAGGAATGAAAATTACAACTGTAGACAAACTGCTTTGTTCAAGTCCTCTCTTTTTCAACAGCCTATTTGCGCTTCACACGTATCCTGCTGACTGATTGATACTTTGCCCATTTCTTCATGGAAGAGAAACAAAGAAAAAGGCCTGAGAAAACAAAACCTCTTTTGCATCATCTCTAAAAATTGTCTTTTTCCAAATTACATACATTCAGAGAACCCAATTCTATAGCAGTACCTCTCAGAGGGTAGAAGTATCAGTTTTATTTGTGCAAGGACAAGATCGTTGCAATAACACACATTACCAAGGTTACTCATCATGTTACGGTGGCTTGAAGGTAAAGGATTCATAATCTCAGGTGAATGAACTTGAATATGAGGAAATTGAGGTAGGAAATAAGAGTTAGTTAATTAAAGTGAAAGCTGGAAAAGAGGTAAGACTGATGTTTTGTTCCATGCTTAACTACAGAACTTAATCTCCAAAAACATGAGGCCTGTAGATTTGAGAAGATAGAGTGCACTATCTGCAATCCTTCCTCTCTCTTCCTCTCTGTCAGCTGTTCTCAGTGGAGGAGATAGAGAAAGTAGTATTTGCAATAGTACTGCCAGTCGACTGCTATTTCACAGTTACTTCTGTATTGTGTAATATACATCTTGAAGGAAATGACTGACTTAAACTCTGCCTGTAAGTGGTCAACTGTATCTTCACTTTTCCTGATAGATTAATGCACTGGTTGGTGTCTTGAAAAACGAACACAAATTGCCAGAAGTTTATTATTGCACCTGCTCCTGTGCCTCTAGACATCTGCGTAGAGCAAGCACCACTGGTATCTTCCTCTTTTGTTGAGGTTTAAACAAAGGGTATTTGTTACCTCCATATATGTACCCCAGAATCAGCACGGAGACATGCAAAGAAATTCATTCACTGAACATTTTTACCAAATATATTTTTTAATGAAGATGTGCAGGACATTGCATTCCATAAAATGCGTTTTCAAGTTACAAGACTGAAGGCACGTATTTATGAATCCATGGTGCAAAATTTGACACTCTTGTGTAGACACCTGGGAAATTCGGTCTTCCACATCCATAACCCCAGCTAACAATGCCAGTCAAAAACCATTTTCCATCTCCATTGCTTTGACATGACAATGGTCCACCGGAATCACCCTAAAAAGAATATATTGAGTTGTATGTGTTCACAGTATGTTTTACTGAAACTGGGACAAAATTCCACAAGACGACATTTTGCCTAACTAATTGCAACAGTGATATATTTTTCCATTCACACAGTTCAAAACGTCCAACAGTCAACAAGTTTTGGGTTTTTTCTTGAAGCAGATAGGATTGCATACTTGTACAAAGTTTGCTCTTTCAGAAGAGAAAGAGCTGCCTTTCACTCTTTAATTATATTAATAAAGCTATTATTTTTCATAAACTAGATCTGAAACTTATATTTTGTTTCCTAGAATCAAATTTACTGCTAAACCAAAAATCTGTTCTTAATATGTGTGTTTGTTAATAGTTTATGCACCTAACAACTCCAAACCCCACAGAGCTTAAAAAAACCATCAAAAATCAAATAAATGGTATAAGTGAAATGAATAAAATGTTTAAGAATCGTATAACTTATTTCCAATTAAAGGTAAATTAAAACTTATTGAATACTTCAATTGGCGTTCTTTTTTTAAAGAAGGAAAAGAAAATGCTAAGTGTTACTCTTTAGTAGATACAAGCCAGCATATATTGCTTAGGGGCATATAAACGTCTTTTTAATTAAAGCAGCTAAAATAAAATGTTACAGACTCCAAATTTTATAAAGGATGGCATAATTCCATAATACAAGACAAAGCAAATAGTACTTTTCTTTTACAGGATATTGTCATAGAAATATATTGGCAGAGGTTCAAACAAAAAAATATGGCACCATTTGGGAAAAATTTCTTGGACCAAGCTTATACTTTCCTGTAAGACTCCACTGTACACACTTCTCTGAAAAAGACAGCTAGCAGCAAATTAAAATTTAACAAAACATTGGATGCAATAAAGGACTTCCAAAAGCAATAGATGAGTTGGTAGATTTTCTAAGTTTTGCAAGAGAAGTGCCTTCCTTATAGACATATAAGGAAGAGCTAGCTAACTATTTTTTCCTTTAATGGATAGAATCTTAGGATATCTGGGTTGGAAGGGACATCAGGAGACGAACTAGTAAAGACACCTGCTGCTCAAGGTAAGATTGTCTTGAATGTGCCTTCCCTATAGACATATGTCTTGTTAGAGCTAGCTAACTATTTTTTCCTTTAATGGATAGAATCTTAGGATATCTGGGTTGGAAGGGACATCAGGAGACGAACTAGTAAAGACACCTGCTGCTCAAGGTAAGATTGTCTTGAATTACCTCACAAAATTATTAAAGATTTAACTCAGAAAATACTTTTTCCTTCCTTGACAGTTAAGATGTTGCATTTAGAAAGTCAAATTCCTCAGACAAAAAAAAAGGGGAACACTTTTTTACACATTTTTTACAAAGCAGAAATCCCACATTTCTATCAGCTCTACCAACTGTCAGACACAGTCACAAATCATTTGACCTTACAGAAATGCAGCCAAAAGACCTGTAAATTATGCCTCTCCTTAGCTATATCTTGAGTGGCCACACAGATAACTGCAGGAACATATTCTCCAGTTAATGAAAATTATGCTTAATTCCAGTTGCCTCACTAATCTCTAAAAAGCAGCTGGTACATTATATTCCCCCCAAAAGCCCTTGGATGTTGCTTGTACTGAGAGCCATTGTAATCTTTTTCACTTTTATTTAGACCAGTGAAAAACAAAATATCTTCAAGATTCTAGGTCACCTCCATCATAAAAAAAGTTTTGGTTTTGTTTTAGCTGTAAATTTACTATTTCAGTAGTAAATATACATGGTTTATGTAAGTTCTGTATAATATAGTGTATATTACATAATATATATAAAGTCTGATATATAAACATAATAGCATGTGTATCTATATATAATTTTACTACTATCCACTAGAAGTAAATTCAGACCTTCACATTTATTATTTTTCATTACTTCCAGATCAGCAGTATTATCAATTTGAACATTTATGCCTAGCTGTTTGTATCTCATCAGATAGACCTGTATCAACAAGATGAGAGGGAGGGATCCTGAAGAGAGAAGCTAGTTTCTCAGTTTTTCTTCAACCGAGAGACTCTTGTGCCAAAATTTCCTGACTTCAACTTCTTATTTGGACTTCCAAATTGGCTGGCCCTGGGCCTGCATCCAAAATTTAAAGATGCTACTCATGCTTACAAAGCAGCAAAACTTTGAAAATACACAGATATTAGATTTGTTCATAGAGAACTCTGAAAAGTGCTGCTTTTCAGAACTGAAATCTATGGACCATAAAGTGGTCTGATAATCAAGTCTTACACCTCACCATGCAACAGTAAAAGACAAGATAAACTCTATGCAAAGTTTACTAAGATACATACTTTGCAGCCATCTTTTTTCCCAGACATTAGTCCAGCACAAAACATCCTAGCTGTGATAATCCCATACGTGGAATGACATAATGTTTGGTCGATAATTTCTATCTCTGCTTTCTGAAGAATTGCTGAACCTTCATCATCTGCAAAAAAATTGAAAGAATGATTCCGCAGAGCCTAGCATTTTATTCATCTATTGAAATATAAAACAGATCATCTTCAGAAACTATCCACAGATACTTCTGACCTGCAAGTTATTCCAGATTTCAAACAACTAACTGCAGTAGCACAGAAAGCCTCTTCTAAGTATCAGGCATTTGTGTAACATGGTCTTGGTCACAATAAGTACAATGGCATAAACCCAGGGTTGTCCAAAAATCTTTCTGTAAATGCCTTTTGCAAAATGCATCAAGCCTTCTTAATCTGTTCTGTTTTTATTTTTAAAAAGAAGCAGGATTTTACAGAGATGTTCTGATCATCACAAGACAGATTTGCAATTAGGGCGGTATCTCTGAATGTGCAGGATCCAAAATTAAGATTATGAGTCAGTTACAGAATGCAAATTCCTCTTTCAGCAGCCTAAAGAATTTGGACATCTCAAAATTTGATTATATATGTCTGGAAGTTTTGGTAATACACATCTTTTCTCTCAAGGACGGGCTTTAAGGAAGTGTCCACACAAGAGGGGTAGAAGGGATCAGAATTTACACAAGAGACAAGCAGGCAGGAGGATCAGGCCTGTCCCTCCCCTGGAGAAGCTTGCCATTATAAGTGCAGTCAATGGAGTGGCCGTCTTTTCAAGCCATAGTCTGAGGATGGAGCTGGCATCTTGCAGCTGGGGTCAGCACTATAAGGCTGTTCAGCCTGCAGAAGCCAAATGAGGGAGATATAAGCAGTTTCATTTCCCTGTAGCAAGCAGCAAAGATCCTCCAAGAGTCATAAAGGGGGAAAACAGCACCATGTTATTCTAGAGTAAGTGTAGCTCCCTGCAAGTCTTTGCTAACAACATGAACATACAGGACTTCCAGAGCCACAGGACTAGCAGCCAATTTTTCCTGACCATATGAAGGTATGTGCACATGGGAACCTACTTCCATAGAAGAGTAAATTCAAAACATCATGAATTTCTGCACACCTCAGCAATGCAACAAAAGCAGTTGTCCTGCACACACCCAGAGCTGTGAAGGCTGCTGTTCACCTCGAAAAAAAAAATCATAGAATCATAGAAAAGTTCAAGACCTTCAAGATCATTGAGTTGAATCTTTTTCCTAACCCTATCAACACTGCTAAGCCATGTCCCTCAGCACAACATCTACCTGTCTCTTAAACTCCTCCAGGGATGTTGACTCAACCATCTCCCTGGGCAGCATGTTCCAATGCCTGACAGCCCTTTCAGTAAAGAAATTCTTCCTAATATCTAACCTGAACCTCCCTTGGCACAACTTAAGGCCATTTCCTCTTGTTCTATCACTTGCCACTGGGGAGAACAGATCAACCCCTGCCTCGCTACAACCTCCTTTCAGGTAGTTGTAGAGAGCGATAAGGTCTCCCCTCAATCTCCTCCAGGCTAAACAGCCCCAGATCCCTCAGCCATTCCTTGTACAACACATGCTCCAAATCCTTTACCAGCTTGGTAGTCCAACTCTGTACCCTCTCCAGCACCTCACTGTCCCTCTTGTAGCGAGGGTCCCAAAACTGGACACAGCACTCGAGGTGAGACCTCACCAAAGCCGAGTACAGGGACATGATCACCTCCCTGCTCCTGCTGACAGCACCGTTCCTGATCCAGGCCAGGATGCCATTGGCCTTCTTGGCCACCTGGGCACACTGCTGGCTCATGTTCAGCCGGCTGTCCAGCAACACCCCCAGGTCCCTCTCTGCCTGGCAGCTCTCCAGCCTCTCCTCCCGAAGCCTGTAGCACTGCTGGGGGGTGTTGTGGGCGAAGTGCAGGATCCAGCATTTGGCCTTATTGAAACTCATGTTTCATGGCCTTGGCCCAGTGATCCAGCCTGTCTAGATCCCTCTGCAGAATCTGTCTACCCTCAAGCAGATCAACACTTTCACCCAGCTTGGTGTCATTTGCAAACTTACTAAGGGTGCACTCAGTCCCCTCGTCCAAATCATTAAGGAAAATTTTAAACAGGACTGGGCCCAGTATCAAGCTCTGGGGGACACCACTCCCGACCAGCCGCCAACTGGATTTAACTCCACTGACCACCACTCTTTGGACTCAGTCATCTAACTAGTTTTTAACCCAGCAAAGCATATGCCCATCCAAGCCAAAAGCAGTCAATTTCTCTAGGAGAATTCTCTGGGCAACAGTGTCAAATATCTTACTGAAGTCAAGGTAAACAACATTCACAGCCTTCATCCAACAAGTGGGTCGCTCTGTCATAGAAAGACAGGTTTGTTAAACAGGTTCTGCCCTTCCCAAACCCCTGCTGACTGGGCCTGGCTGTCCTGCATGTGCTGCATAATGGAACTCGGGATGATCTGCTCCATCGGCTTTGAGGCACTGAACTTAAACTGACAGGCCTGTCATTTCCCAGATCATCCTTCCATCCCTTCTTGTATATCAACTCATTATAGATTTACTGTAGATTCAGCTCAACTGAGTTATAAAACTCACCTGATTCCTGTTTTTGGCCCCAACCCGTTATCCAGCACTTGTCACTGCTGCGGACTTTATGTGAAAAGGGAGGCACGCAGATGGGCTGGATGACATGGCTTACTGTGTCTGGCCACGGCTCGCTCAGCTGCAGTAACGCAATGTCATAGTCGTAGTTCCTACTGTTGTAGTATTCATGTACCACAATACGTCTCACCGCAGATACAAACTTTGCATGGCCTTGCATTTTCATCCCCAGGTGAGCACGCCAAGCTCTGGGGTCAGACAGCCTGGTTGGGAGCAAACAAACAAGACATCTTTTAAAAAAATTACCCCAGAGCACTCACCAACAGAGAGGCAGGTGAAAGAGGAGGGCATATCCCACATCAGTGCTGTTCAAACTCTTAAAGCTAAAGACATTCATGGATGCTTGGGACAGAATTAGAGAGAAGACTGCTTACTTGCTCCCTTGAAAGCAGTGAGCTGCAGACACAAGCCATTCTTTCGATATCACTGATGCCCCACAGTAAGCAGCTCCCACAAAGTGGAGGCTGACCTGCCAGGGCCATTCACCTTCCTCAGAGTTTGTACCGCCTACAATCCGAGAGATGGGATTGCTGCTCTTGCTGCTGCCACAACCTGCAAGGGATATTTGAGGTTATAATCCCCAGTGCTTTCCTTTAAAGAGAGCACTTCCCACATCAGACATGAAAGAATCTTGCACTTTGAAGCGTTTTGATATCTATTTCCTTGTCCTACTCTAATCAGAAAACTTCTCTATTTGGCTACTCTCTTCCTGAAACATGAGGTGACTCCATTAAAAACGCACAGATCTAGAAAATTCATTTTCTTTTCTAGCTCTGCTACAGAAGTTGACCTCTAAATATCTTGTGTCAGGAATGTCAAAGGAATCATTGGTTTAATAAACATCAAAATAAATATATGTAAATAACCAGTCCTTCATCTTTATTTTGTACTGTCAGCCCTAAACTGAAAGGAGTCCACAGGAAGGAAGTTCAGTATCACCAGGACACTTATTTTGAGGCTGGATGTGGCACTTAGTGCCATGGTCTGGCCAGTGTGATGGTGCTGGATCATAGGCTGAACTTGGTCATCTCAGAGGTCTTTTCCAGCCTCAACAATTCTGTGATTCTTGCCAAAACAGTGGGAATCACACAAGAAAAGTATTTATAGTAACAGCCAGTTTCATCTCTTATTATTTCAGAAACCAGGTGGTCCAACCATTAATTTGCAGGGAAAAAACTGAAAGTCTGGAAATGTCATGTTATTAACTCACATGTGGAAAAAAGTCACGTGTCAGCACAAAAAGCTGCACAGTGTGATTTGAAGAGAAAGCAGGAAAAATCTCTCTGTAGATCCTTGTGCCCATCCCTAGTGCATGCAGATAAAGCCTCTGCTCAGGAGTTTTAGTCCACACACAGATATTTAATGCTTCTGGGCACTTTCCAACACTTAGCCAAAGAGTCACAAGCAGCATTAATGCTTCCAAACACAAGCAGTCATATAACTAGTCTTTTAAGATGTCCTGCTGGCAGATTTGACATACAGGTAAAATGCCAGAAACAGCTGAGGGCCAGACAAAATATTGAGGTCTTCACCTCCCAGAAAAAAAAACAGACAAGTGAATGGTTTGTGGGTTTTATCTCATTGCTGCTGTGTCAATCCTGAAGTCCAAATACGGTTCTAACTCTGAAAGAAGTACCTGACACTGATGCAGACCACAAAAATGTTGCCTTACTGGCTAGCCAAGTTCATTCTGCAGTTAAGCCTGCTTCACTGCTCCTGACAGCTACGTTAAGCCTTACAGTTGACTAAGACTCCCCATAACAGTAGACTCACCCTCCCACAAGAATTTAAGAAATTTGCAGCCAGACCTGATAGCTGACCATTACCCCACCATCACTGAAATCATGTAATAAGAACTCAATACCTGCTGTATGACTTGTACCTGCTCCAAAATAGAAAGAAATAAAGGGCTATATTGTGTGTTCAAAGTTCAAAAATATGAACATTTGAGACGGACTTACTGCAGCTGCTTTCATCACTTCCATCAACACAGTCCACAGTCCCATCACACTTTGCATTTTGTTTTCTAATGCAAATGTTATTCCTGCACTTAAATGTGTGGTTGGTGCAGGGAATACCTGAAACAGTTGTGCGGAAAGAAAAAAACCAAAACAACAAACCATTGATTCATCTTAACACATGAAGTTATGTTCATACAGAAAAGAGATTCATGTATTAATAGATAGGAGGGAAAATAGCAATAGAGCTGGGATGCCTTAAAACAATCTCTAATAATAAACTATTCAAGTAGAATAGAAGACAACACTGCATCAAGCTGTCTGAGTCTGAACAGAGATTTCCTCCCATCCTTTCCCACAGCACTAACAAACATAGAATTATGGAACAGTTTGGTTTGGAAGAGACCTTAAAGATCATCTAGGTCCAACTCCCCTTGTGGTAGATATAGTAGTAAAAATTTAGCTGTAAAGCAAGTGTTAGGCTAGAAAGAGAAAACATCTAGCAGTCTGGGAAGAAGTCCTCCTTTATACATTTATACATTTAACATTTTTACAGACTTTCTAGTCTTTAAAAAAGTCACCTGCAGCACTTCCCAGCTGTACTTCCTTTCACATGTCATGCTGCCCATTTATTCTAAAAAGTTAAAATAAATGGCTGACTCAAAGCTTTCATGTGCCTAATGCTACATTTATAGCTTCCGTACCATTTTAAACACATTAACCTTATAACCCTGAAAACTACTCCATGGAAACTATCATTTTAATAGTTATTTTACAGATGATAAAACAGATCCAGGAAATAATTTGCACAGATTATGCTCTAAAGACACAAAATCCGGGATTCAAGCTTTAAATCCCTAGATCCTCATCTTGCACCCAGAGTACTTAAGTCTTCTGCCAGCATTTCTCTGAAACAGATGTTCATAAGATCATTAAAAAGAAACAGATTAAAATCAATAATGTCTTTTTTATAAATACAGCTGAAAACTGAACAAAATTACATAGCTTTATCTAGATTTGATAGTGTCTCTTAACTCTTCAAATACAGCATCTAGTATTTAAGTTAGGATTGGAGAGCTGACAGAAGAAGAAAAAAATTGAATAAAGAAAAAAAAATCAAGAGAGAGGCCTTACTGTGAGTACAATTCTGCTCATCTTCTCCATTCTCACAATCACTTACTCCATTGCAGGCGAGCAGGTTATCTTGTATGGTGAAGCTGGAGTTACACTTCCACTCGGGAACAACTTTAAAAACATAAGTCAAATCAGCCACAGAGGCACATTTGTAATGCTAACACTTCCCTTCTGACTGTGTCTGGGTACCACTTTCATAGCTTCTCCGCACAGTACAAGGATGGGTATGAGTGCCACACCACACGTGGAGAAAATAAAGCACAAATGAGTTTGGTGACTTATCCCAGTTCACACACCGCCCTGAGTGGAGTAACCCAAGTTCTAACCTCTATCATCATGGACATTTATTATCACTCTTATCTACTCTATGCACCCCAATTTGTCATTCCCCCATAGAAATAAAATACCTCAATAGAGAACAAAACTTTGTAATTACTAGCATTTGTCACAAGGCGAAAGCTTAAACACAGTCTTATTATGTCTTGTTTTGCACACCTAACTTTCTTTCTTGCACTCACCTTCTTTGTTCTTAGATCTGTCCCTTGCTAATTCACTATGAATTAAGCCCTCAAGAGACTGACTAATAGTCTGTACCTAGACATATGGAGGAAGCTGGAAAGATCTTTTTTTCTCCCACTAAAAAAAAAAATTTCACCTAGTTTCAGCTGCCTTCTGAGACTAGGGAATATATGCATTAGGTTTTCCAGTGAAGATCTCTAGTAAGTGAGTACAAACCACAAAAGAGTTCATCACTTTCATCGAAGCAGTTGTTTATTCCATCACAACGCTGTGTCAGTTGGATGCATAAGCCAGTAGAACACTTGAAATGTCCAGGTGGACATGCTGGATATAAAAAAAAATAATAATAAAAAACACTAAAACAAAAACAACATCCAATGCCAACTTAAAAATTCCCTTTTCCCAAATGTTGTCAGCTCATTTCAATTTACAGTAAATAAGCTGTTTCAAGGAATGATAAAGCTGATCTAAATTTAATAGTCTGTATGCTAGCACTTTTGCCAGAACTTAAGTTCAGATATTGCAAACTGGGATTTAAATAAGAAGAAAAAACAAAGTTCCAATTCAGCTGTTACTGCAAGATGTACTAGAGGCTCTACACTAGGACTGGATCAAACAACTAAGTGTTTTATGGTACAATATAAGACAGCTTAGAATGCCATTTTCTTTTGAAGGACAGTCTCACATTCGATAATCAAAACTCCCAGAACTTTGCAACTTCAGTTAGTAACCTGCATTGTGGTGACTTCTGAATTACATAAATATTTGCTTTTTACAATAAAATCATGAAGTTACAATCTTTTCTTATATGCAAAGTATAAAATTGCTTTAATGTGACAGATAACTCTGACTAGAAATCATTGTTTCTCTACTACTTTAACAACAGGAATACATAAGACTAACATGGAGGGAAAGAATGTGTAAACAGTTGCCTGTCAGGACTTGGGAAAAAATAATAATAATTAAGAAATAAAAGAGTCGGTAGACTGTTTCATCAGCTTTTTCAGATTATTTTCATCTCAGATTTCTGCTTGCACACAAAGTATTTAAACTGATGGAAACACTGGAGTAAGCAGTTGGTTATTTAGTACTCTCTGTTCACTCCCTGGAAGTCTTTATGGTAACAGAAACATTGCAGACAAAACCTTAGGGATGAAAAAACCAAACCAGGATGGCAGACTTCAACTGACTGTGCCTTGGCCGTTGCTGTGCAGGAAGATTTAAGGACAGTGCAGAAGAGAGCAGACTGTGTCTGTACAGGAAACCAAAGCATGCTGCACATGCCCACAAACCTTAGTTGCACAGTCCCGATGAGCTAGAAAAGGCTCTTTGTTTTCTAGTTGCCTGATTTGGTAAGATAAGAAAGTAAAATTAAAAAAACCCCAACAATAACAAAACGCCGAAAAGCCACAGGATTTCCTGCTTAGGCCCAAGTCCTACTGAACCTGAAAAATGCTGCTTCACAGTCCTGAAACGTAAAGATGGGTTAAAAAGAATAAAATCCATCTTACGCTGGCTGATGTTGTAGCTGCCGTACTCCACCAGAAGTGGCTTCTCTGAGACCGTCGAGCTGCACTGAAGCTCAATGTTGACAGCAGAACTTGCAATGTGGAAGACTGTTTGGTGATCGACATAGTGGCCGCAGTACCTGAAAGTGTTCGGTGGAGATCTAGTGCAGTCTTCACATCAAAATTGCTTTACTTAGAATCTAAATGTCAACATCACTGAAATGCAGCAATACAGTCCAGCTGCCATACTTTAATTAAGAACCAAAATCTGAAACAGAACCCAAATTCCTCAAAGTGCTGGTCATAATCCTTTATGACTACATATATGCGGGCAGAATGTTTTGACAGAAATTCTAGAGGATCAGAGATGTAATGAAGAAATTTATCAAAAGGAAAACAGGTGTTTTTGTCACCACTTTTGATACTTGTTTTCAAAAGATTTATATTTTTATGAAAAATTAAGTCTGGTGGGAAGGGCAAGCATCACCACAGTGGAGAGAAAATTCAGTTGCTCTGAGGACTGCCCCTAAAGAAGAGTGCACGAAGGCATTGGAATAAAATCGGTCCAACTACTTTAGAGGCAGATGGGAGTATATTTAGGGAATCCAAAGATATTTCTAAGTCACCCAGCCTTCAACCACCATTAAAGTTCTGGAATTTTACCTTTGAAAGTCATATCTTCAAGAAATTATTCTAGATGAGAAAATAAAAAAAAACCCTTGAGTGCTCATCTGCTTTAGGCTATCCTTTTGGCAAAGAGCTTCCTTGGACATCTGCCTAGGTGCCACTTAACTCAGAGAAACATAAATGCTTCCTAATGCCAGAAAACATCTAATCCATCCATAGCTAAAGCATTTCTACCATCCCTTTCATCAAAAATGCCAAAGATGTTGCAACTGCCATTGAGATGCTACTCTAGCTGGAGAAAACCTCAACACCAAGCAGGGGGAAAAAGGTCTTTTATGGTGAAAGTTTCCTGCATTGTGCTTTAAAAACTGTGACAGCTTTCAATGTACTAAGCCAGTGAATATGAACCATACAGGTTGTTCTAGAAGTAGCAAAAAGGATCCTCTCTTCTGTTCCACTAGAACATCCCAAAAATGCAGTACTTATGAGAAAAGTCTGGCTTTAAGACTCCTGTTGAGAAAAGTACTTACTGGTCTAAATATATTTAAGGGCAGAAGCAGCTGTACCGATTCTTAGCACACTTGGCACAAACACTTCCTTGCTGGCAGTGCAAGGTTACACACTGTTGTTAGAATGAACTCAAAGAATATTAAAATGGATTATTATATTGTTAAATGGACTAATATCCAGAGGAAATAATTTTCCTTGTTAGTTTTTACAACACTAGGCAGTGCACCAGGACTACTCTTCATGTCAATGAATGCAGGGAAATTGGTCAGTGATTTTCATGTGGACAGATGTTGTCCTGCACACCTCTACTGAAGCATGCCACAGGGAATGGCCATGCTCATTCAGATGTTTCCATGGGTGCTTTGTTCCACCCTATGAAAATGAAACATGCTTTGAGATCTAGGAGATTCTATTCCAGCAATGTGCAAAGTAGATGAAGAAAACTATTTTTAAAACAGCCTACTTTTATACATCCTGAAAACGGATGCAGAAAAAGATTTAGTTTTACAGCCTTATATTATAGTAAACTGTCAATAATAAAATAAATAGATCAATAAAAATCTGTCAGAGCGAAGAGTGGAGGTTTTCTGCAACAGGAAGTCTTATTCTTACTCATTTTAGTGTATCTGGCATCACTGTTTCCAACCTAAAACATCCTGCCAAAGTGCATAACAAAATGCAACCTAACTATCTGATTCCTCTCAAATAGCCCACATACATTTTCTGTATTTCTCCTTCTGTCAATGACTTGGAGAACGTCCCTTCAACAAACCTTAGCACCATGTTAAATAAATAAATAAATAGATAGATAGATAGATAGAGTCTGCTTTGACTGCTTCTCAGCCACATAAAACAACCTCATCTCACCAGAAGTAGAGGAAGATCCTGCTCATCCCTGGAAGAACTGAGACATCTACAACAAGGGAGCTGTCTCCTGTACATAATGAGAAGTGTCATATGCTTGTGGAATTTGTAAGACAGAGCTACAGATCCTTGGGAACATTCTACTAATGTTTTACTAGTCATTTCTCCAGGTCCAGGGAAAATGGAGGTTGCAAAGTATCATCTGTTACTCTGCCCTTGCTACAGAGAGAACATAATTAAGGGGATCTTGTCCCATAAGTTGAAGCAGAGGGATATCTTTTAGGAGGGTGAGTAGATACACCCATCCCATAGCAGCGACAATAGAACATTGCAACAACCGCTTTAAGAAAAATAAAACACTAGCGATCTCTTTGTTCATATAAACTTCTAATGCTCTGCTCACAGAGACTCTGATATTTCTGCCTATGAGAATTTCAGCAAAAGCAGTTCATCAGCTATAACTCCTCTGGCTAGACAGAGGAATATTCGCACATTCACTGAAGGAAAGATGAAGGTGTGTGTTGGTCTCTTCTCCCAAGGAGCAAGCGATAGGACAAGAGGAAATGGCCTCAGGTTGTGCCAGGGCTGGTTTGGGTTGGATATTAGAAAAAAAACAAAACAACTCTCTTCACTGAAAGGATCATTAAGCAGTGGAACAGGCTGCCATGGGGAACAGCTGAGTCCCCATCACTGGAGATATTAAAAGACATATAGATGTGGTGCTTAGGGACATGGTTTAGTTGCAGAGCTGGCATTGCTACGTTAATGGTTGGACATAAAGGTCTTGTCCAATTTAAGAAATTCTATGCTACTGTAAGAACTGCATGGTTGCATTCAGTGTCACTGGTTAGACAAAGTTGTCCTTAGGGATTTGAAAGAACCTCATCTGCACCATCTCCATGGTAGCAGTCTTTATTTGCCAAGATCAGTCTCCTGGATCTTCTTAGCCTTTTTTACCTAAGGTAGCAGAATACACGTGCTACAAGCTGCAATTGCAGGAAGCTGAAAATGTAGGGTTCCCAACCTCCATTTCATTAACTACTAAAAATTTTGGGAAAAAATAAAAATAAAAATGTTCCATGTTTTAAATCATATTTTTTTCCATGGAAATCAGACATAGAAGAGAAAATCATAGAGGTTCAAAAGCCTTATTATCAGTGAAAATAGCACTTTCAAAGACAAACTTATGTTGGTTAACATATCATCAGCAACTTGCAAAACAAATCAGGAGCACACATTCTTGGAAGACTTATTTCAAAGCTGCTCTTTCATACAGAAAATCCTTACAATACAAACCCATCATCATTTTCTTTCCAGGTTTTACCTTTGATTTCTATCTTAGTCATTTCTAATATCTCAAATCTTTTCAATTATGTCAAAATGAACTACAAAAAAACCCACAAGCTCAGTAGATGTTGTCTGTTTTGACTGGTGTTTTTATGTGCCCATTTAGTCCAGCAGTCATTTTCCATCAAGGCACAGTAGCAGGAACTTCAGACAAGCTGAATTTTCTCTGTAAGAGTACAACGTTGTATCAAAGAACAGAGAAATTTTTTTCTCCTCTCTGTAATTTTTCCAGTTACAATCCTAAAGGCCTGACTGACTTTCAGCAGAGTGTTTCAGTAGTGAGCTCAGAAATCTGGTTTCAAGTCTGTTATTACTGATTTTTCCATTTGAACAAAAGTTTTGAAAATAAAAGTAAATCAAAAAAATCCCAATATCCTAAATCTAAACTTGCCTCAGTGTTTGAAAGATGAGTGAAAAAAGCGTGGGGAAAAAAAATAGGCGGACAACGTTCATGGGAAAGCAGCAGAACGTTAATAAAAAACACTTGAGAGATAGAGTGGTACCTGGCAGCCAGTCTATGTGGCTTCTTTCAAGAGCCAGTGATGGGAATGTGGAAGCAGTTACTCTTCTGTTCCAAATAATCTCATTGTAATAGCTTTCACTGAAAACTGAATTAGGTTCAGTGTCCTCTTGAGCGATCATGGAATTAAGTTACACTTAAAAGGGTTTTAACAGACCTTGCTCAATGATCCCAGAAAACACAGAAGTGCTTTAGGTTTCACCCAACTATTCCCATTTCTTTCTCTCCAGAGAGCAACAAGGGCTCTTGTTTTCATTTTTCTGGTACCTTTCAGTAGATTTTTTTATATATATATTTTACTAAAATTCAGTTCCATCATCAGCAAAGGTGGAAAACCAGTAATAGACACCAGTGAAGTATCTCTGTTTTCATGGAAACTCTCTGAGTGAGCTGCAGCAATAATGGGAAGGTTTATTTCAGCAATGTTAGTTTAATAACCCATTCAGACGTACTTACATGTGTTCATTAATTTTCCACCATCCTCGCTCACAGCCTTTGATATTCTTCTCACTGATGGTATAGTTATGAAACTTCAGAGCTATACCAAGGCTCTTCTTTGGAGTCTGTTGTGAGCAAGAAAGACAGTGCAAACAATTTTCTTTTTCCTTTCATGGCCATAGTACGTTCCAGTCTTCAGATTTACCTCAGCAATTACAGGACTTGGCAATACCACGCTCTGGGAGCCGTGCTGACTTCACCAGCTCCATAGCCAGCACTCCAGAGAGCTGCCAGCTATTCAGCCTTGAGTAAAAGCAAAAGCTGGCAAAGCTCCACCACAGCTGCAGGCTTTCTCCCCCTCTACCCAGCAGTCCTTTCACCTTCAAAAAGCCACTCGTCATGGAAAGTAGCTTTTGCATCAAGATCAAAGTACTCTAACGCATCCAAATTTACTTGTGCAGGGACACACAGCCTCAGCAGATTGTTAGCTAAGATAAGGCACTGAATGCTCAGTGTCACCTCTGTAATGCTAGGAATTATTTCTACCACATCGTTGTAGTCTTCTGCTGGCACCTAATGAGCTAAGATTCTTTAGCACTTTACAAAAGATTTTTAAGCCCAGAGTTCATAATTAATTAGAATTTCCTTTATTAAAAGGAACAGAACATTTTTGCAAGACAAGGCTATATTCCTTTAGAAAAAAAGGGGCTGGTTCAGGATAATAACCCAGAAACAAAGATTTTTTTTTTCTTTCTTACAGAAAACATGATTTGGGAAATGAAGGCACTAAACTATCGGGAAATTACAGAATGGCAGAATCACAGAATTGTTGAGGCTGGAAAAGACCTCTGAGATCATCAAGTCCAGCCTGTGACCCAACAC